ATATTACTTGGAATGCACAATAAAAAAAACGTGATTTCTGAAAAAAACAAAAAATGCAGTTATCGGTTTTTGCAAATTAACTCTTTGTATATTTTGTACAGTGGGGTCCAAAAGTCTGAAACCACTAGCAACTTTTTTTCTGATTGAATACCTTTTTAAATGACAAATTATATAAAAAATTAAGTAAAAAATCAACAATTTTTTTTTATTTCTTCAAATACAGAATTAGTACATCTATGCATTTAGTACACTTTTTTTTTTCAATTGACATACAATAGAGGGACCTACGCTATCCATCACAGGTTGTTACGATTGGTATTTTGTATGCTATCCTTTTGGATGAAACTGACTCGCGAGCTTGTGGAAAAATTTTAGCCATGTTATTCAGCAGGATTTGCATCTTGTGTGCTTCAGTGGAAGCAAGGTTGTCATTGGCTTTGTCACAAATTTGATAAATCTAGAACCTATAGAAATGCAGAATCTTAAATGTTTTTTACTAATTTTATGCCATTATGTTCCTTTGTTTTAAATCACTTTTGAATCAAGCTTTAATATGGAGTTTAAATCAGAGGGGGGGTTTTTTTGACTCCACTGTATATACGTTTTGTACTAGTGTGACAAAAACACATTTGGTCACCATCAATAGTTTTAACCAAAGTACTAAACCAGTACTCATCAGAAGATCTGTAGATGGCATATATCTAGCTATGTGATTAATTATCACACTCAAGAATCCTTGTTATCACAGGTCCTAGTTGTAATATCCTGTATGATCCATAAATGTTGGCATGCTGGAATTTTTTTATAGCATATATGTCGTCACTGACTCACATGATTTATGTAATTGATGATCTCAAATATCCTCTTTCTCAGCTTCTCAAGATTGCAGTCCATCTTCTTGTACTGAGGGGGAAACAAAAAAAATGAATCATGAATTTTTTGTCATTTTGTCACTCATTAGTCACACTGTATTTGGACACACTTTATGAAATCTGTTAGCATCAGTGATTTTAAATTTACTGTGAGAAATTTAGAACAGTTTGATTCTATAAAAACAGCAATGCTGAACAAGCACAAAATCCCACATATGTTGAACCAAGTGAGGGTTTTTTTTTGTATTAGAACGTCAGATATCATCTGATAATCACTGAGATCCCAAAAATAAGTAAAAAAAAAAAAAAAAACTTTATCTGTTAAGAATTTTTTTTTCTGCATTATTCCCCTTCCCCCCCCCCCCCCCCCTTGAACATAGATGTGAAAGTGCACTTTTCAAACTAATATTGTTATAATTCATGAACACTTTTGAATACAGACCTATGGTTGGTCTCTTTCTAAAGAAGACAATCAGCAGATTATTGCAGAAGTGAAATCATTTCAAAAAATTAAAGTATAAAAAAGTTATAGAAGTTTATATTTACTGTAAAGAAAATGTACTGTACTGTTTTTATTATATTTTATATAAAATAAATATTTTACAAAATTTTTATTTTACAAAGTTTTTAATCCAAAATTTCTATAAAATTAAAGCCATATGTCTAAATAAGTTGTGTTCCAAATTTGAAGTTGATATAAAAAAAATTAGATTACTATGCAATTTTGTTTAGGCGTTATACCAAAAATAGCGACTGGGTGACACCCAAATTCCATTGAATTTTTTTAGATGAATTTTTCTGTCACAAATGTTTAAATCTCTCTCTCTCAATATTACTTCTATTACAAAATAACCACCAAATATGGAATCTTGTGACTCAGACCTTTCCAACGATATGTATTTTGTCAAGATTATAAAAAGTTTTGATTTTAAAAGACTGTAATACATTTTGTAATATGACTCCTCCCACTAAGGGGGAGGAGGCTGCTAAAAAATGTAAAGTACCATTTCCATGGTAATGCAATGTCCTATTTCAAAATGGTTTAAAATTTATGATGAGTACTAAAACATGTTATAGGGAAAAAGGAAATGAAAAATAATTTTTGTGACAAAGGTCAGAACTCCTGTTATGATCTATATGTTTTGTGGTGCACTCTTGTCATAAATTAATCTATTACTGTTCCTACATCATTTTTTAACCACAAACAGAGCTAAAATATCTATTTAGGAGTCTTAGACCTTTCCAGCAATATATAGTTTGTTATGATTAGATTAGGATTTAATTGTAATATATTGAAGTAAACTTATGCGTCCCGTTGGCGGGACGGTGACAGTTAAGGGGTTGTGCATTGATTCCCGTTCTTACTTCTCTGTTGTCTGCCACAAGGAAGAACTCAATGTATTTTTGTTGCTGGAAAAAAGTTGGCCCCTGATCAAGAGGAAAGAAATAGAATGGAAGAAATTACAGAACTAACAGAATAATTCTTCAGTGAAATCATTTTGAAAACAATATGAACTACACTCTTAAAAATAAAGGTGCTTCACGATGCCATAGAAGAACCTTTTTGTCTAAATGGTTCTATAAAGAACCTTTAACATCTGAAGAACCTTTCTGTTTCACAAAAGGTTCTTTGGGGCAAAAGAAGGTTCTTCAGATTATAAAAAGGTAAGAAAGAGATGGTTCTTTAAACAAACTTTGACTGAATGGTTCTTTGTGGAACCAAAAATGGTTCTTCTATGGCATTGCTTGAAGAACCTTTTGAAGCACCTTTATTTTTAAGAGTGTACCCTACTTTACAACATGTACAGGATTAGGTTAATCTGGGACATTTTTTTTGCACTTTTGACTTCTGCAATTCATTGTGATTGTCACCTTAACATTGCAGAACAACAAATTAAACTTTACGACAACCCAGCCTGAATGTGGTTAATTCTTGTGAAACTTTAACCATATTGTGCTTTGCTTCTTTTTGTAATGCTAAAGTAAATGAATAGACAATCTTACTGAGGAACGAGAACGACTTTTGAGAATGCGTGGAGGAGCGCCTTCCTCACTCTCGTCCCAACTAGTGTTGGTGACTCCACACACCCTAGGCGTCTCTTCATTTACATTTTCATACTTAGAGACAGCATGGTTACCATCACCATCCTGAGACAACGGCTCAATCAGAAACCTCTGCTCCTCTGTTTGCAAATAGCCTCTGTGAAGACATTTCACAAAATGGGCACAATGTCATTTGTAGGGTCTTTTGCCCTGTCTTCTCTGCCCTTACAGAGAAATAAAGGCAATTGGCATCACACTAGGCATTTTGAACCGTGCCCGAGTGCATTTGAGCCCCAAAGCCCGGTTCGTTTGACTAGTGTGAGTGCTCCGTGCCACGCTCGGGCGCGGTTCGTTTAGCCAGCCCTGGCCCGGCTGGAAGAGGTGGACCAGGGCACGGTTCGGTTTGGCTCGGGCACGGTACGCATGCAGTGTGAGCGCTAACCGCGCCGGAGCACGGAACAGATACTATTTTGTGTGCGCTATATCATCATTATGACCGCAAACATATTCTATTGCTACTACTACACTACACTTTTCAATTAATTTAATTGAATCAAGTATATTTAGGTTTATAATGGGTCTGGTTCTTACCTTATTGATGAACAGGAAATGTAGTTTGCGAGTAAAGCTGCAAATTATTTCATTAACGTCAGCTGCCTCCGTAATCATTTCTCTGCCCTTACAGAGAAATAAAGGCAATTGGCATCACACTAGGCATTTTGAACCGTGCCCGAGTGCATTTGAGCCCCAAAGCCCGGTTCGTTTGACTAGTGTGAGTGCTCCGTGCCACGCTCGGGCGCGGTTCGTTTAGCCAGCCCTGGCCCGGCTGGAAGAGGTGGACCAGGGCACGGTTCGGTTTGGCTCGGGCACGGTACGCATGCAGTGTGAGCGCTAACCGCGCCGGAGCACGGAACAGATACTATTTTGTGTGCGCTATATCATCATTATGACCGCAAACATATTCTATTGCTACTACTACACTACACTTTTCAATTAATTTAATTGAATCAAGTATATTTAGGTTTATAATGGGTCTGGTTCTTACCTTATTGATGAACAGGAAATGTAGTTTGCGAGTAAAGCTGCAAATTATTTCATTAACGTCAGCTGCCTCCGTAATCATTTTCTGATACATACAAGTGAAAATCAATGCACGGCATAAATTATTAATTAATTATTCAGCAGAATATTAGCAAAAGTGGTTTTCTCCGTTATCTCATACATGACGTAAGCGTGCTCCGGCTCCGAATGTTTAGTGCAAGTGTGAGTGCAGGCCAGTGGGGGAGTGGGGAGTGGGGAGGGGGGATAAGCGCGCTCGAGCTCGGTTCAAGGCAACTGTGCCTAGTGCGAGTACACCCTAATCAAGGGTGATTGGGAAACCATGTGTAATGTATGTGTCTCATTTATCTAAGTAGAAAACACATGTCACACTGTAACTTCCTTTAATTGCAGAAAAGCGTAGAACACTTTAGGCAACAAACTGGCATTGCAATATGTAGCAATAGTTAGTGTAAAAACAGCAGTAGAGATTGAGTGAAAAAATTTAATAACATTAAATATTTTAAACAAACTGTTTAAAGATGTTATGTGTACTTTTGTTAAAGCAACTTAATATGTCATTGTAAAAGTTCAAAAGAAACCTCTTTTAAAATTGTGTTTTCCTACCGTAATCCATCGCAGGTGCTCATGCTAACCGACGACTTACTGTCATTGACTATTTTCCCATGATAATAGCATAAATCCTGTGGAAGAAAAGGGTATTAAATACATTTCTCACTTTATGAATCATATCACAATAATGATTTATAGTTGATTAACTTGTAGCTTGTAACAGTATGTTATATTGTCATATGTTAGTAATACTAGTTGTAGCATACCATATCCTCAGGTGTGGTTGTGACAAGCATCCCATCTTTAGTGTAGTAAGTTTCACTATAGTCTTTAGTCAGTATGCCACTGTTGACCAACACGCATTTCTCAGATCAGTCACAAAAAAATTGACAAATCAAAATGTGTAATGTGGGAACTGCAGTTTTAATATGCACAGATGTTTGTCTATGACAATGAGTAACTTTTCTAAATTGCAACGTGCAGATTTTAAACATCACAAGATACACACACACACACACAAATGATGACAAAGGAGTAACTGAGAGACAAGCTTACTTATTTTTCTGGAGATGCATTTCAATGTCTCTACCGCCTAGTTTCATAGCGTATTTCACTGTGTCAGGTCTTGACTGCAAGGAAAGAAATGATTTAGTTTGATTAAAATATTTACAAATGAAATTTAGAGGTGGGTAGATGAGAACTCACCTTTAAATCTCTTTTTTGTAGTGCATGTAATCTGATTGGTCGAACAATCTCATAAACCTTTTTTCCATCTAGTTCAGGAATGTGACCAACTATAGCAGATTGACAAACAGAGGGAATTACAGACACTGAAGCACAGATTAGTCAGAAAGTACAAATATACAGTAATGTTTAAAACATTTTTTTTAAATATAGCCTATAAATCCTGAGTAATTTTTTTAACCCAAATGCTGGATTGAGCATCAATAGCATAATTTTTGTCACGCTGAACAACAATAATTACTGTATTTGCATTATTGTAAGGGGTAGGTTTAGGGTTGGGGTAGGTGTTGAAGTTAACAAATCTAATATGTAGAAAATGTAATTAATTGTTAACTTGCTGTGTTATGCCGAATTCTGCACCCCTGCCAGATTATGCACCCCCTCATTTTAAATCGTTACCTGATTACCTAATCCTAACCCCTCCCCCACCTACTCCTAAACCTACCAATACTGGAGGTGCTTTTGTTACTGAGCCTAAGGTATTAAACTGCACTTTCAGGGGGGAAAAAAGTACAAAAGGTACAATAGCTGTCACTGGGGCAGTACCTTTTCAAAAGGTGCAATTATGTACCATACTAATATGTACATTTTAGGTACTAATATGTACCAGGTACTAATATGTACCTTTAAAGGGGTCATATGATGTGATTTCAAGTTTTCCTTTCTCTTTGGAGTGTTACAAGCTGTTCGTGAATAGATAAGATCCCTAAAGTTGCAAAGACTTAAGTCTCAAACCCAAAGAGATATTCTTTATAAAAGTTAAGACTCGTCCACGCCTTCCTAAAACGCCTCGTTTAAATCCGCCCCCACATGTCTACGCCACTGTGTGGGAAGATTTGCATAACACCGCACAAATGTTCACGCAAAGAAAGGTGTAACTTTGATTCTCGCTGTAGTATAGATGCCGCCGCCGCCATGTCGTGGAGATGCTGCCTGTTTCATTATGAAAGCGAAACTACTTTGTTTGGTCTTCCAAAAGGGGACACAACTAGAAATCAGTGGTTAAGTTGTATTTACAACATTGTTCCAGAACAGTTCAACCCAAATATTCAGATGTGTCCAGCGCATTTTACGGAGAACGAGGACTGTTTCCTGGGAGAGTAGACTACAATGCCAGTGTTCTGACAAATAATGCTGACTCACAGCCTGTAAGTACGTACGCTTTCATATTTAAACGTTTATAATGGGTTTTATTGGTTTTGTCTCGTCACGCCGGGACACAGCATCATATGGTAAGGGGCGTAACATTTCCGTCACACGCTTCCAATAGTATTTGAGGTATTCGGCCAATCACAACACACTGGATAGCTGGCCAATCAGAGCACACCTCGCTTTTCAGACCGATGAGCTTTGTAAAGATCTACACGTTTCAGAAATGCGGGGCATAGAGGAGACCAGCAGACTGAAGGACAGCTTCATCCATCAGGCTGTCAGGAAGCTGAACTCCCTCCCGACCTTGCCCCCCCTCCCCTCTTTTGCCCCACGCACCACTGAACTCTGACCCTCTGACGGACTCTCCCACTCCCCCCTCCCAAATACACACACACACTGTCACTTTAATCAGTCTGAATAAGCTCTTTTGCACTACAAATCATTTTTTTGCACTACAATCATTATATCTGCACTGTTGTTTACTTTACTGGTTTGCACTCTATCTGCCATATGCCTTGTGCTTTATATATATTTTTTTTACATCTTACCTTATTTGTATATTTGTATAGTTGTATTTTGTATTTTGTATTTAATCTGTATCTATGCTATTCTTTATGCACCAAGGGTCTGAGGGTAACGCAATTTCAATTCTCTGTGTGTATGTGCTGTACATGTGGAAGAATTGACAATAAAGCAGACTTGACTTGACTTGACTTGACTAGAAACAATAATGTACAGTATATGGAAAATAATGTTTTTTGAACCTTAAACAGCATAAACACATTTCATTACACCAAATGCACGAAATAATGTTCTTTTTTAGCAGCGTCATATGACCCCTTTAAAGGCACCCTTTAGGGGTAAAGAAAGTACAAAGGTGTACTTTAAAAAAAAAGATAACGCCTCAGTGAAAGCGTTGTACCTATTTTTTTTTCTAAAAGTGTGCTGCAGCCCTTTCATATAATATAATATGCACAATGCTATTGACCAAAAAGTGACAGGGAGATTAAAACAAAATTAACTGATAACACTTTATATTATAGTTAAGTACTGAACAGAATTAATATGGATTTGGATGTAGATCTGCTTGTGAATGCACCTTTTTAGTACTAATACTATTTACTTTTGGTATTGTTGAGTTATATTTCATTACACTCTAAAAACTGCTGGGTTAAAAACAACCCAATTTGGGTTATTTTGGCAACCCAGCGCTGGGACAAAAAGGGACAAACCCAGCGCTGGGTTATAATGTTTGACCCAGCTTGCTGGGTTGCTTTTTTATGGTTTAAAATTACTACACTGCTAGGCTAAAATGAACCCAAATCGAGCTAGCATTAAACCTACAAATCTTGTTCATTTTAAAATCACTTTTGCACACACAGAATGACTATCAAAAGGTAAATATTTATTTAAAACAAGAGAAAACAGTTAAAAGTAACATGCATGTAAGAAGAAATGCAGAAAAGTATGGCATTAACAGCTACAGAGTTTATAAATGAAGCATTGAACATTTGTTGAATATAACTTTTAAGATCAAATTTGACTTTTTTGGTAAATTATATATATTGTATAAAAACATTATACAAAAACACTATTATACAATAGTTGTACAATTAGTTAATAGCTAAGTTCTTTACAAACTATTCTGGCATGACCGTAAATAAACCACAACATTAGCACTGATATTATAACATTTATCAGAAACATATGTGTGAAAGAATGTGAGCATGTGTATGAAGTGTAAACTCAATTTCTACTAAACAACAACACAGAACAAGCATTTAATATTTTGTTTTTACAAATTATACACTTACAGTTTGTTTCATAGTCCATGAATACAGATCAGGCATCGCTGACAATTTTCATGATCTCTTTAGGATAATTGATATAGTCTTGAAGAAGCCCCATCAGGACAGCAAAGGCATGTGACATCTTTTACATTATCCAGGGCAGCCTCCTCCTTTAAAACCACTGTTGCATCAGTTTGGGGGAAAGGACATTCTCCTCTTTGACCAGCATTCATCCCAGTCACCACCTGTTCTTCATCAGTGGCCTAAAAAGAGAAAAACATTTGAAAAAAGAAAACATTTAATTAAAATCTATCCATTTTCAGATAGAGGTGCATCCACATCAGTAAGAATAGGTAAATAGTCTGTTTTATCATTTCAACCACTCTGTGTGTTTGTTTAATGTCTCTGTCTACCACATCGCTCTAGAATGCTATAATGGCAGCACTAGTGTGAGGGCATGCAATATTGTTTAAATAAATAAATATATTGCTTTCAAAAAGCTACTTCTTTACTGAAACATTAAAATAGACATGACATTCACATCCATCCATCCATCATTCCATGGGCTCACGCCCATTGGTGTCCAATGCCCACCAAGTGACGTCCTGTTTGATGGAGTCGAATGCCTTTCGGAAATCAATGAAACAGTTGATGATGTGTCGTCCTTTACGTTTCGCCTTCGCAATTGTCCTGTAGTTGCTGCATTCTGAAAAGTCTCCTTTCTTTGGTATTGTAACGATGACTGACTTTGCCCATTCCTCTCATCACCAAACTGTGGTCTGAGGAGATGTCTGCTCCTTGGAACGTTCTGCAAACACGCACTGCAGTTTTCCATCTCCTGTCTACCAGCACCAAGTCGATCATGTTGGTGTACTTGCCATCGGGTGCCATCCACGTCCACTTCCTACTGTCCTTCTGGTGGAATCTGGTGTTGGTGATCAGTAGATCATTCTTAGATGCAAATTCCAGTAGCCGTTCCCCTCTATTATTACGCTGTCCATAGCCGTGACACACCATCACCTGCTCCCAGTCCAAGTTATCCATTCCAACCTTTGCATTCCAGTCGCCGATCACAATTTTCACATCTTTCTTTGGCAACTCCTCGATGGTGTGCTCCAGCTGCTCGTAGAACGTTTCGACCTCTTCCTCGGTACTGTCTGAAGTTGGTGCATAAACCTGAATCACTGCAATGTTCAGAGGTGCTCCGTTGAACCTGGCCACTATGTTACGAGAGTTTACAGGGTTATACCCGAGTAGTGCATCTTTCGCTCGCTTGCTAAGCAAGAAACCAACTTCCCTCATGTGATTTTTCTCTTCTCCTGACCAAATCACTTCTCCTCCATTCAGCTCTCCCACACCTGTCCAGCGCATCTCTGACAGTCCCAATATATCGCACTCATATGGTGTCATTTCCTTACGTAACAGCTCCAGTTTGCCAGGACTTCTGAGAGTCCGTACATTCCATGTACCTATCTTCAGAAAGTCCGTTGCTGCTTTGAGTTTCTTTTCTCCTTCTCCTTTTCCTTCTACTCCAGTAGCTAACCTTTCAACCCAGCCCCGGTTTCCCAGCTGAGGACGCGGACCTTGTATAACCGGGCGACGTCCGAGCCGGTGTGTTCCTGTTTGTTTGGTTGTCATTGTGCATTGGATTTCATTCGTCTTGTTTCTTTTACAGGTGGCAGTATCTGCACCCCACCACCCAACCCTCCTCCTTTATCGGGGCTTGGGACCAGCACAGTCACCTGCGGCGGAGTTCGGTGACATTCACATACCTCACAAATTTTCATGGACGTGGAGGGCTGCTCTTTAAAGGGTTAGTTCACCAAAAAATTTAAATGGTCGTCAATTATTCTGCCCCGTGTTGTTCCAAACCCATACAAACTCTGCTAATTTTTGGAACACAAATAAATATATTTAATATTCTCTTAATATTTGTCCTCCATTGCAAGTCTGGGAGACCAGTATTTTCTTCTGAACAGACATGTTCGCTATGATATAATTTAAGATTTATTCATATATAAATATTGGCATGGATTTCATGGATGGCATGAATTTTTAACAAAAAATTATGAGAGAAAATTTAAAATATCTTCATTTGTGTTCTAAAGACAGACAAAAGTCTTATAGGTTTGGAATGACATGAGGGCAAGTAAATTATTTTTTGTGTGTGAACTATTCCTTTAAGAAAGGAAGACCAAGAATGATGACTCTCTAAATCAGACAACTCCTAAGTTGCTTTGAGTTCTGCAATGAAAAACAGGGACATCAATGGTTTAAATAAAATATGAACACGTAGTCATACTGTTGTTGCATCAAAATGTGAAGTAAACAGGCAGGAGACAACAGAAACATTTATTTTCTAAAAATAACTCACACCAATCTCAAAAGAATGATGCTCTCCTATGTCTCTGGCTTTCAACATCTACAAAAACAAACGCTCTTTAACTCTTAGTAAAAAACAAAACAGTAACATGATGGAATTCTGAAGTTTACTTGCCTTAAACTGTCTTTCCCGCTCTTCTGAAGAAGCTGAGAAAATCGCCTTCTCACACAAGCAGGGTTCTGTGTCGTTAACTCCCGGCGCGGGCACAATGAAGACACAAAGCTCAACAAGTCTGAAATATTACATGCAAAACATTACTTTTAACAATTATCACTTCATCAGCCTCAAAATAATTAGGCTAGTCTTTATTACATAACGCCATTTCCTTTAGGAAACTACATTCAATTTAACCGCGAAAAAGAAGATAACGAATTAACATGTAATTATTTTAATAACCCTCTCTTAACACCTCAAAAAATTTTAATATTGTAAAATCTTATGTAAATACGACATAAGACACTCGCTGACATTATATTAAAAGCACCTCTTCCGTTCAGTAAAAGAGGCCGTTAAGACGAGGCGTCCTGAGGCGAAATCCGCGTCCGCGTATTTTTCAATATAAGCTCTTTTCAGAATATTTCCGCCTTCCATGAAATCTCAAAATACTATCGGACTCAAACAATGAATGATGACTTTACATTTTTAATCTTTACTTACCGTAAAACGTCTTGCACTCGCTTCCATCTGAAGACGCTGAGAAAATGGCGGCTTCTCGCACTGGTGTCGTCCGATGTTAACGTGATGTGCATGCTCTCTTTCACGTCCGCGTTCCCAACCCAGCGCCGCTGGGTTTATAGATCAAGAACAATTTTCAACCCAAATTGGGTTAAAACAACCCAACGTCCTTACCCTGCGGTCTCAACCCAGCGTTTTTTAGAGTGTATATTTACATGTAATACACTACAATCTAATGTGTTACCAGTGATTTCATATTAATTAACTGTTTCATGTTTCTTAGGGAACATTATATAAAAATGCAATAATGTTTTGAAATTATATAAAACAGTAGTCAACATACTGTTTTAAAATAATATAAACAATACATTTGTTACAAATAAAGATATAAATCATGCATAACAAATATTGCATTCCATATAATTTCCATGATTTTCCCTGACCCTTAGTAAACCTAGGATCTGTACAAATAAAAAATATCATATACTTTTACAGTGAAAGTTCTAATACTCTAAAATCAGACACCCTTCATTGTGTGAACTCTTAGACTTTGTCAGTGCAGTGCAGTATTACAGCTGAAGAGTCCACAGCAGTGCAGAGATAAGTTCAGTCATTGTGACGCAGAGGCACTAGTGTATCCAGTATCTTACCTGAGGGTTTGAGTGAAACACACAGAGCGAAGATCCACAACATTAGATGTCTTTTGGCCATTGTCAGTGGACTGAACAACTGAAACAGGATCGTTTGGTTAAGCAAAATTTTATAGTTCAGCTGAAGTGTTTTTTTAGGTTCTGCACATGCACTTTCAGGAAATGAAAGGGGCTTGGACACGCCCCTGGAAGTGTCAAAAGAATGCAGGAAATATTCAGAGTCAGACAGACCGTGACGTAATGATACTCGCTCTTAGTGTTGACAAACGCTATATAGAGATGTCACTTATGAGTGTTCAATGGCCTTACTTAACTGCTCCAAAAAAGTGACCGATATAAATTGGTCATTCTGGGCAAATCTTCACTTATGTGTTCTAGAAAGTCTTGCCTTTTAACATTTGTTGATCAAAAACACACAAAAAAAACTTTAAATGAATCATCCAGACAAACAACGAGGTAAATGTTGATGGTTAAACTTCCTGAGCAAGGTGGTCAAGCAGGTTGTTATCTTACACCACTGCTGGAAGTGTCAAAAGAATGCAGGAAATATTCAGAGTCAGACAGACCGTGACGTAATGATACTCGCTCTTAGTGTTGACAAACGCTATATAGAGATGTCACTTATGAGTGTTCAATGGCCTTACTTAACTGCTCCAAAAAAGTGACCGATATAAATTGGTCATTCTGGGCAAATCTTCACTTATGTGTTCTAGAAAGTCTTGCCTTTTAACATTTGTTGATCAAAAACACACAAAAAAAACTTTAAATGAATCATCCAGACAAACAACGAGGTAAATGTTGATGGTTAAACTGAGCAAGGTGGTCAAGCAGGTTGTTATCTTACACCACTAAACACATGATTCAAGCACAATCTGATTCTACATTTCCTTTTTCCACATTTTTGTTACAGTGATATGTAAATAGTTTGCCACCCGAATAACAGCCAGAATATCTAACCACTTTCTTTCACGTATAAAATGTGCAATGCATCTATGTTACCAAGATATATTGTATTATTTTAACCCTTTATTTCAATTCAATTTCATTTATTCATGTACACATTAAACTGGCAAAGTATGATTTGGACAGATATACATTGCTTGAAATGTAATGATTATTTTTCAAAATGTTACCGGATGAATATAGAAAGCAAATTGCATGCATTTGTAGATAAAAGTGTAGACAAAAGGCATAAGCCTCCATAGTCATCCATAGGATGAGCAAAAATACGTTGCCTTACCTTCACTTTGCTGCTCCTCGTGCTGTTTTTTGTTTGGCTTTAAATTTTATTCAAGACTTGCAGATTCATACTTGCTAATACTGGGTCTGCTAATACATTGTCTGGTTGTCTAGTGAATTTCAAAACAGCATAATTCCTTCCCTTTTAGTTCAGCCTTTGGTTTTCTCAAAGATGTCAGTTCATAAAAATGTGTAATGTGAGCCAAAAAAAAGCAAGCTCCTGCCCTGTCTTCTGTGGTTTCCTCTTCCACTGAAATGCATTCTAATACACAAGGTCAAGTCAAGGACAATAATGCAGTTATTGTGCCTTCTCCTGACACCTCCAACAAAGCTATTGCTCGCTTGTTGGAGTTGAGAAAGCATGCAGTGTCCATTAAGGCTGTATGTGTTGCAAACTGGCCCATTTCTCTCTTCCTGCTCTCTGTCCTTCTGTGACCTATTGCTCAATTGTCTGTTCCGTCATGTATCTGCACTTGGGTGTGTGATAACTTCTCACAGATTGAGATCTGGTACATAAAGCTGGATCATCAAAAAACTAAACAATATGTGAGTCAAACCCTGTTGCTTCTGGTAAATAAGACATTTAACATTCCCCAATGAACCTGAAAGGCTTATGTAAAGAAACTATCAGCATTCATATCATGAGCATTAAAGTGTTACATGACAAACGTGTATAAATACACTACTGTTCAAAATGTAAGAGTCAGTAAGATTTTTGATGTTTTTAAAGTCTCTTATGATCACTAAGTCTGAATTTATATACAAAATATTTTAAAAATCCAGGAAAAAACGGTAATATTGTGAAATATTATTGCAATTTAAAATAATGTTCTAACTGAATATATTTTGAAATGTATTTTTTTTAACCCTGTGATGGGAAAGCTGAATTTTCAGTGGCCATTACTCCAATCTTCAGCATTACATGATCCTTCAGAAATCATTCTATGCTGATTTGATGCTCAAGAAGCACTTATTATTATCAATATTTAACACAGTTGTGTGCTGTGCAATATTTTTGTGGAAACAGTGATAATAGAAACTTCAGAAGAACAGCATTTATTTGAAATAGAAATCTTTTGTAACATTATAAATTAACTTATGTAACATTATAAATTAACTTATAAATGAACTTTCATGATAAATTTCACGGATATTATGCATTAAAATAATTTTAGAGCTTCTCACATGCGTACAAGGCCTTATTATGAAACAATCTGGATTAGGTATTATGTAGTTGTATTTTGAAGTATTGTAGGTAATAATTAGGTAGTTTATATATATATATATATATATATATATATATTAGCATGTTTCTTAAATATATGCAAAAATATTATGGTATTTTTATGCTTTAGTAGAGTCAAAAACTTACATACAGCACCTTTAATTACAGCAATAATAGAAAATTTCATCATGAACAAGAACATGAACAACAATATCATATTAGACCACAGAAATTCCAAAATTACATTTCCCTCACATTCAACTTCCAAAAGTGCATTCATCTTTGCCATGTTACATTCATTTAGTTGACTAGTGCTATACACTGTATTAACAAAAACATTAATGGCATTAATAAAAACACTTACACTGACAAGCTACGCAATATCGCGTTCATAATCGAATGCAACTCATCTGCGATTATGAACGCAATATAGCAGTGATCTACGGCTCTGTGTATTAAATGCTGCTCCATTTAAAAGCATGCGATGGAGATTTACTATTAATCACAGAACCGACTTTACTGATGAGATGCGCATGACAATCACATGCGATTTATCGTGCAGCCCTAAGTTTGTTTGTTGATCACAAAGTACAAAGTAGATGAGGAAAACTAGGATAGCCTATTCAAAGCGCCGCCATTACTGTTTACAGTGCGTGGAATGGTGTGCTGTGATTGGTTGAGCGGATATATCGCATTCTGCAGA